GTAGACTGCTGGACTTGAAGTCAGGAAGACTTCAGTTCAAATCTAGCCTCAGATACTTCCTACCTGAGTGACACTGAGTAAGTTACTTAACTTCATCTAGCCTCAGTTTTCTCATCTGTAAAATGAGGGTGATAATAATACCTACATTTCTGGGTTATTGTGATAAAAGTGTTTTTCAAACCTCAAAGCACTATATAAATGCTAGTTCTTAGATGTTATTTTGTCTGTTTTCTCATTTTTCAGATGGGGAACCCACGTTGCCCACAGAAGTCATTTTCTCAAGTCCAAATAGCTAGTAAGTAGACCTGGAATAGAGTGATAGGATTGGAAATGACTTTAGAACATACATTGTCCCAGCTGGAAGAGACCATAGAACATGGAATGTTCAGACTGAAATGGACCTTTGAGACCATTTACTCCAGTCTCCTCAATTTACAGATGAGGAATTTAGATAAGGATTTGAGTCTTTGTGATCCCTCGAACCATAGCACGTCAATACTGTCCCTGAGGTTTTCTTGGCAAAGATTCTGGAATGGTTTGGCATTTCCTTTTCCAGTGGATTAAGGCAAACAGAAGTTAAGTGACTTGCCCAGGGTCACACAGCTAGTAAGTGTCTGAGGCCAGACTTGAACTCAGGAACTTCCTATCCTCCCAACCCACCCCCATTCTCTGAACCACTTAGCTGCTTCCTGGCCAGGGATGTGTTGGTAAATATTTAACAATCAGGTTTTTGTTGTTGTTGTTGTTCTTGTTGTTGTTGTTGTTGTTGGGGGAAGGCACAGGGGAATGCACACTTGACATACTTTTAAGTCAATCTGCACTATTAACATTTTCTCCATCACTTTTTAAAGTCTAGACAATCAACAAAACAAAACAAATCAAGTCCTGATTTGTAGTATTCCTTAATTTCTGAGTTTAAATGCTCACACTGAAAATTTAACAATAGACTCTCTTGAGCTGTTTGAACTGGGTCTAATACAACTCTGGTCTCAGCCCTACTGAACATCAAGTTCTGAGACCAAGAGGTATTCCCAGTTAAATTGTTTTCCTCTCTAGCCCTTTGTCAGACAGTAGACTCAGAAGGAAATAGGCAATGTCATCAGTGTCCTTTTCGACATGGTTCTATGTGTAATTCAGAAGAAGAGCCATGAAATCTGGGAAATGGAAGGAGCTCAGCAATTATTTACTCTAATACCCTCCACTGTAAAGCACATCAGACATAACTCCTGGATGCTCAGTACCAGTGGAAAGGAAATCTGCAATGAACTGAACAAATTTCTGTTTGGCAATTCAGAAATTGCCAATCGATAGAATAAGCTGGAGTTCAGAATGCCCTTAGAATACTCTGAAGGATTGCTACAGAGGTGTAGTTGAAATGTCCAATCAATGAATTAAATCAATGCTGTCTAATTGAAAAATTCCCAGGAACACAAATTTAAAGCTGGAATGAACTGCAGTCATCTTGTTCAACTCCCTCAGTTTACATTTACATTTTACAAAGTCCTTCCACATCCACTATTTCATTTCATCTTCAACAACCTTTGATGGTAGATGAGGAAATGAAGGTTCAGAAACATTCAGTGACTTTCCTAGGGTCACATAGCTATTCACAAAGCCAGGGTTTGAGCTTAGGTCTTCTCAGATTGTCAGATGCTCTTTACATTACAACAAAGCAGCCTGAATTGAATTAAATTCCACTTGTTTTCTCTCATGAATGCACAAATGCCCTTTAGTGTTGTATATCTGTTAAGACATTTTTCTTCAGTGTTGCCATGAGGCTTCTTTAAAAATAGCAAAACACTTTAATAATTGGGAAAAAGTACTAAATTTATGTTTTCTGCCAAAGTGGGAGCCTTTCTTAGTCTCGAAGTAGGTATCTCTCCCCAGGCATTGGAACATTCATGCTTTCAGAAACACACAGATGAGTCAAAAGTTTAGCTTCAATGTAATCGATTGCAGACTGGCTCTTAGAAAAAGCCTAGCTGGGTTAATATAAGGGATGTCTGCATCAGTTCCCTAAAACATTTTCTCAAGTATCTATATAATAACATCTTCTCAAACAAAAAATTCATGTAACACTACACTTCTCCTTATCTTAAAGACAGTTTTGTGATCTGCCCCAATCTGTCCAACCTGTTCTATCATTCTTCTCCATCACATACCTTCAGAAGAACTGGTCCACCTCCTCCTTTTACAGGTGAAAATACTAAGGTGCAGAGAAGAGGCATTGGGTTATAGTTGAAAGAACACTGGATTTAGGAGTCTAAGGTTTTATGCTGGGTTTTGTCAATTATTATCTGGGTGAGGTGGCCAACTCCCTTCATTTCTCTGAACCTTCATTTCATTATCTGTATAATGGGGCTAATAATACTTACAGTACCTTGGGAGGTACTGTTGGGAGGGAAATAATTTTATTCTTTATTCTTATACCACAAAGCATTATTAAAATTTGCATTCTTATTAATAGAAAGTTACAAAGTGCTAATGAAGTAAGTCAGAGGAGAGAAAGGTGAATTTTGACTGGAGTGGATCAAAGTAGGTTTTTTTGAGAAGGTGACATTGGAGGTGGTCCTTGGGCAATGCACGAGACGGCAACTGGTAGAGACAGCAAGGAGGAAATTTCAAGCATAGGGAATGGTATAAGCACAGACATGAATGAAAAGTATGAAGAGTGTCCAGGGGGATGGAGAGTAGCCTGATTTGAAATTTCTCTTTATTCTACGAGTCCATTCTCAATGAACTTTGACAATACCACTCCCTAAAAACTTGATATCATGATTTTCTCTCTACAGGCACTGCTAATTAATTAACTAAAACTAGGAGACAGAGATAGATGGATACATTTATATAGAGAGAGAGATAGAAATAAATATATACCCCCCCTTCCATGTACATGTATAATTATGTACATGCACTTTTATTAATTTTTAATTTGATTTATATATCTTATATTTTTATTTATTAATTTTATATATAGTAAATTTATATACGTTATATATATTTAGTAAATTTTATCTATAATACACATTACATATTATATTAATATGTAAGTAAAAATTTCAAATAATATTTATTATTTATAATAATTTAATGGTTATTTATTCATTTATGTTATCTTTTCTAATATAATATAAACTCCTTGAGGGCAGGGACTGTTTCATTTTCACTAGCTGTCTCTATTGCAAATGTAGGTAACAATCACGATTTTGAAAAAGGATCTAAAGGCTTCAGCACACTTTCAAAGTGATCTATAACACAAAAATTGCCAAGAACCCTTACCCTTGGTGGTCAAATCATCTCCAATAAGATATAACCAAAAAGAACACAGGCTTAAGAGTCAGGAGGCTTAAATTCTAATCCCTGCCATCCACCAGTTAGCTCCAGGAACTTCATCTATGTGCTTCAATTTCCTCATCTGTAAAATCTGGACAACAGTAACTACACTCACTGCCTGCCTGACAGAGAAGTTGCAAGGCTCAAATGCTTCAAGAGTTTCCCAGAATTATGGCATGTCAGAACTTGGAATAGCCTTAGAGCCCACTTAGTACAAGCCTTTGGTTTTATAGATGCCAACACTAAGGTCAAAAGAGATAAATACCTTACCTGAGCTCAAACATCAGGGGAGTGACAGAGCTGGGACTAGAAACCAAGCTTGCTGCACCCTAGTCTAATGTCCCTTCTGTTTGACTCTACTGCCTTCCCTCTTCAGCTTTAATGAAAGAATTGGACCTGATAATCTCTAAGGTTACCACTAGTTCTGACATTCTAAATTCTAAGATTCCTTCTAGCACTAACATTATTTGTTGTTAGACCTTTCCAAATACTATCATTTCATGTTCTATAAGTGCCCTTCTTGCTCTGAAATTTTATGTTCAACAGTCATTTTCATTTCTTATTTCCTATGTGCTAAGGTCTCCTGCAACCCTAATAGTCCACATTTCACATTCCAATATCCTTTCTAAAGGGAATACTTCATGCCCAATTAAGATTATTTATGACAATAATTATAATGGACTCTTGTAGAAAGCCTGAAGCTAATCAGTCAGTCCAATTGAAAGTCATGGAGAGAACAATCTTACAACATTTTTGTTGCCACGTATGTAGACATGCGTGAATGGAATTCATGATCATAGGGTCCCAGAACTGGGAACTGGAAGAGAGCTTAAAGACCATTTAGTCTAACCCTTCCATTTTACAGATGAGAAAACTGAGGTCCAGTGAAATTAAATGATTTGTTCAAGGTTACACAGGAAGTAGAGGAGGGGAGAGGGGGAAGGATTTTGACCCAGGACCTCTCACTCCAGTATCAATCCTATTTCCCCTGTTCCACATGGAAACCAAATACTTGGATAAATGAAAACTTCCAATGATTGAATTTTTCCCTTTTCTTCTTTACATTTGACAATAAAGCTAAACTGGCATTCCTTTCTTTGGACCTTTAGTAGAATGTTTACTGGAGGAGGAATTAGAAAGTGTGAGTTTGAGTCTCCCTTTCACTTATCTACAAGCCATGCAACCTTGGGCAAGTCATTAAATGTCTCTTAGCTCCAGTCTCCTCATCTGTTAAACCAGGATAACAACATTTGCCCTGCTGACCCTTCAAGGTTGTCATGAGAGACAAATAGATGAAGGATATGAAAGGGCTTTGTAACACTAAAGTGATATATAAATGTGAGCTGTTCTCGGTACATTACAAGGTCTAGTCCTGACCTCTTCAACCATCTGAATTCTAATTGAAAGTTGAGAATAGGAAAACCTTCTGAACAAATAAGGGTTAATAATTGTAAACATTTTATTATTAAAGTATGTCCTCATTAAGGGAAGAGAAAAGCAGAAATCTTCAGTTGTGAAATTCCCTTGATGCCTCCATGCCTCTGCAGGGAATTTCCTTTTACATTTCAGAAAATAAAAGGTCTCATGAAGATATCATGGGAAGGATGCAAACAAAAGGCCATTGTCATAACACATGTTCCAAACATGCATCTATCCACTCGTGTGGATCACATGATCACCATTACCTCAGGAGAGCCGCAATCCCGGGCTTGCTCATCAGGGGAGATACTGCATCCAGATGATGAAGTGCCTTTGTTTGCATGATGATTAAATTCAATGTGCACCTTCTCTGAAACTAAACCACCAGTCCCCACAGTCTGCACACTGATGCTAAAGGGAACTGAGAGGTCGAGATTCTCTAGCAGGGTCTAAAAGAAGAGATTTTCATATGTACTACATTAATTTATTTTTAAAATATTTAATTTTCCAATTACATGTAAAATGTTTTATATTCTTTAAAAAAAGTTTTTTTTTTAGTTTCAAATTTTCTCCCTCCCTTCCTACTCTCTCCCTCTTTGGGGAGAAGCAATTTGATACAGATTATATATGTGTAGTCATGCAAAACATATTTCCATATTAATCATGTTGTGAAAGACAACATAGACCAAAAAATAACAACTCAAGAAAATAGTATGCTTTGATCTGCATCCAGATTTCATCAATTCTTTCTCTAGAGGTGCATAGCATTTTTCATCCTGAGGCTTTCAGAATTGTCTTAGATCATTGTATTGCTGAGAATAGCTAAGTTATTCACACTTGATCATCACAAAATGTTGATGTTACTGTTTACAATGTTCTTCTGGCTCTGCTCACTTCACTTTTTATCAGTTCATGTAAGTCTTTCCAGGTTTTTCTGAAAGCATCCTGCTTGTCATTTCTTATAGCATTTAAAGCATAAGACACATTCATGGTGACTTACTATAAAACACTTAGAAAATATAGGCATTGTATGTGACCCCTAAACCATTTGGGTCAAAGAGAATATACTTCTTTAATGGTACTATTTCAAATGTTTTTCTACTTTTTACCAGTGTGATCTTGGGTAAGTCACTTCATCAGGAACTTTAAAGGTCATCTAGTCAAGCCCCCTCATTTTACAGAATGCTACCTGTATGACTTGACCAAGGTCACACAGATATCAAGGACCAGATACAAGATTTGAATGGCACGTATAGCCAACTTGTCTGAAGTTGTGGACTCTCTAAGTTCCATGATCTTTCCATGATTCTGTGGTGCCTTTCTTGGTCTTATGTAGTTAGACTGCAGCAAACTGATACAATGGAAAAACCACTGGATATTAAGAAAGAGTTTCCTAGATTCCAAACCTAGCTCTGGCATGCATGACCTGACACACTTTGGACATTTTTTCCCTTCTCCAAGCCTAAATTTCCTCATCTGTCAAATGAGGGAATTAGACTGAATAAACCTAATATTTTGCGATTCTAGATAATGAGACACACATAGCTAGTTAAAGCACCTATCTCTATTTCTTTTCTACAAAGGAGTAGAACAATCAGTAGGGCACAATAATTTAAAGTATCTCTTTTTTAAAAAGGGAGATAGAATCATGAGCCACAATCAAGAGATCAACCCTCCTTGTAGTCAAAAGAACACAGAAGACCTGGGTTCTAGTCCTCCTCTTGGTATTCATACTGCTTTCCTAGATACATCATTTAACATCATTGAGATCAGTTGCTTTATCAGTAAAATGGAGGTAATACTTGATCTATCTGTTCTCTTAGAGCTGTTGTGAGGAAAGTGTTTAGTAAGGCATATGGTGCTTTACAAACAATGGGTCACATTTATGAAATGTTTTTAAGGTTTACAACATTGTTTCTTAACTATTGTTATCTTAGAAATACAATATAATGCAGAATATGAAGATTGGCTTATGAATATAGAGGGATCACATTACAAGCTTACTTACCTTTGTACAAGCTGAACTCATGAGGTACTTATGAAACTCTCCATCAATATAGATCTATGGCATAAAATGAAAGATAATGAGGAGTCAAAATGCTCCACTTAATTAGAAATGTACCAAAGTAGAGTTAAAATCATCACAATTGAAAGTACAAGTATATTAAAAGTTGATGGGGCTACAGATTAAAAACCATCAATAGTGTTTCACAAAAATTTAATCAGAAGATACAAAAAATGTAGATGAATGCCTGTTCTTGACTAAGATTGATATCACTATAAAATGTTTCCCCACCTTCTGTCCTCACTAGGTAAAGAGTCAAGGGATAGGACCAAAGAGTTTTCAGAAGAAAAAAAATGTAAATGATCAACAACCATATGAAAATTTTCCAAATCACTAACAGGATAAATGAAAAACATCTCTGAGGATGGAACTTACACCCACAAAAGTGGCAAAAATGATAAAATATTGAAACAATCAATGTAGGAAATGGGAAAGTAAAGCAACACCAATGTACTTTTGGTGGTGCTATGAATTGGATTAACCTTTCTGGGAAACAGTTTGGAATTATAGGAGAAAAACCATTAGGTTGTTTACACTTTTGACCAGCAATCTTAATCCAGGGCCCAGAAAAACTGGGGAGAGAAAAATCCTATATTGTGTAAATATCCATAGCAGCCCTTATGGTAGCAAAAAATCTTAGAAATTAAATGGTTTCCCATCAATTTAAAAAGGACTGTTAGAACCTAGATTTCTTAATGAAGCTTCTTCCCATTGTACCCAACTACTTCTCCACTTATACTGCTAAAATTTGACAATATCATGTATTTAATAGCAGACCCATAATAATATCAATACATGTATATAGACTTTCACAGTTTCCTAAATATTTTCCTTAGAACAACCTTATGAGAGATGTAATGAAAGTGCCATCACTCCCATTTTACTGTTAGGAAAACTGATACTTTGAGTGATCAAAGTGACGAGTGTGAACCAAGCAAGTCTTGCAGTTGGTCTGCAAGACCAGGGGTTTTCTAATTCCAGACCAAACCCTCTTTTTTTAAAAATTAATAAATTTATTTATTTTTAGTTTTCAACATTTACTTCCACAAGACTTTGAGTCCCAATTTTTTTAAACATGTATTTTTAAAACTTTGGGTTCCAAATTTTCTCCCTTCCTCCCTCCCCACCTACCCTCATTGAAAAGGCAAGCAACTCAATATAGGCTATACATGTGCAGTTACGCAAAACACTTTCACAGTAGACGTGCTGTGAAAAACTGACTCTATTTACCTTAATCCTATGCCCCCCCCATTTATTCTATTCTTTCTTTTGACCCTGTCCCTCCTCAGAAGTATTTTGCTTCTGATTACCCCCTTTCCCAATCTGCCCTCCTCTCTATCATCCCCCTACTCTCTTGTCCCCTTCCCCTCCTATTTTCCTGTAGGGTAAGACAGATTTCCATACCCAATTGAGTATGTATGTTATTCCCTCCTAAAGTTAAATCCTATGAGAATACGATTCACTCATTCCCTCTCACCTTCCCCCTCCACTATAAGAGCCTTTTCTTTTCTGTTTTTTTGTGAGATAATTTACCCCGCTCTACCTTTCTCTTTCTCCTTCTCCTAATATAATCCTCTCACCCCTTAATTTTATTCTCCAGATATGACCCCTTCATCTTCAACTCACCCTGTGTCCTCTATCTATCTATCTATCTATCTATCTATCGATCGAACGATCTATCTGCCTATCTCTCTC